TCCACCTCACTCTTCTCCCCACCTCGCCAGCTTCCTGGCAGCAAGCACTGCCACCGGAGTGACTTTTCCGAAATGCGTATTTGGTTAGGTTGCACCCTTGCTTTTGAATATCAGTGATTCTTCATGTGTTTGGTTCATACTTTTCTTTCCAGCCTCCTCTTGTGATCCACCCTCCTCTTCCAAGGCCCTGTCCCCTTCAGTAGAGTGTCCCCAAATCCATGACACTCTGACACCTTTGAGACTTGGACATGCTGCTTCCCTCACTTCTTCTCCAGGCAGTTAGTTCTCTGCCTACACTTTCTAGAGTGCCCTTTACACGCATGCTCTTCACACACACTGCTACAGCTCCTGTCACATTGTGTTATCATTGTGTGTGACTCTGTCTTACCCATTTGTATGTTAGTGTCTTCTTATCCGAGGCATTTGTACAGCCTGTCTGGAAGGAAGAAAGAGGGGTAAAGGAGATCTGTGTAAAAAAAGCAGATTGTACCTGAGTGACATAGAAAATGGGAGGAACGTAGGGCGGGGGGAAACCTTCCTCAGGCTAAGAGCCTGGTAGACAAACATCCAGTCACTTTCCTCATTCGGGACCACAGGGGGCACTATTGTACTGTTGCCTTGTGGTCTTATATGCTGAGGGGGAGGGGAGCGAAGGCTGCAGGCTGCTGGGCACGATTCCTAGAATGAATTGAGAGACAAGCAAAGGGCAGCAGGCCCTCCTATCTGCAGAACATGCAAGAACCCCATGTTTGTAAGTAACACCATATTGGTCTATGTGACGTGTTCTCAGAGATGGAGTTGGATCATTTGTTTTCGTAACAGCAGCATTTTTAAGGAAAAATCTTATAATGAAAGCATTCTATCACCAAACCACAGAGTCTAGTCAGTAGGCTTGGAAATTATTTAAAAGTGAAAGTCCATTTTATTTTCATTGACTAAACTATAGGAACCTCTAGTATGGTTGAGTTTGTAGACTGAGGAGACCATAAGTCTGTTTTAAAGATTAAGTGGTTCACTTTCACAATTTAAGAATTTTTAGCACATTCATTCTTTCCTTTTTATATGAAAGGCCCTCAGAGTAGCAGAGAAACTGGCATATTTACCCTGATTGGTTTTTCTTAATGTGTGCATCTAAAGTGATATGAGGACCAAGGACTGATTCAGTGACCAGTTGGGGGCTGCAAGGTGGACATCAACAGAAGGGACTTGGAGGACCCATATGCTTGGAATGCGCCTCATACTTCCCTCTGTGTACTTGGACTGCATTTTTAGCCCAGCCATTTTCTAGGTAGATTTATTTTTTCCTGACCGGCCCCAGTATTTTCCTCACCATCCTTTTCTCTGTAAAGCACAAATGCCTTAAGATCCCCAGGAACACTAGTTAGACTTTATACAGGAAAGAATGGCTTCTTCCTTCAGCTATTGTGTTGTGAAGCTGATTGTTCAGTTGAGAATAAATTGAATTCGTTGAAA